TCACACACTCACACACACTCAATCTCTCACACTCAATCTCTTACTCACACACTCACACACACTCAATCTCTCACTCACACTCACACACACTCAATCTCTCACACTCACACTCAATCTCTCACTCACACACTCACACACACTTAAGCTCTCACTCACACACACTCAATCTCTCACACTCACACACACTAAATCTCTCACTCACACACACTCAATCTCTCACTTACACTCACACACACTCAATCTCTCACTCACACACTCACACACACTCAATCTTTCACTCACACACTCACACTCAATCTCTCACTTACACTCACACACACTCAATCTCTCACTAACACTCACACACACTCAATCTCTCACTTACACTCACACACACTCAATCTCTCACTCACACACTCACACACACTCAATCTCTCACTCACACTCACACACACTCAATCTCTCACTTACACTCACACACACTCAATCTCTCACTTACACTCACACACACCCAATCTCTCACTTACACTCACACACACTCAATCTCTCACTCACACTCACACACTCAATCTCTCACTTACACTCTCACACTCACACACACTCAATCTCTCACTCACACACTCACACACACTCAATCTCTCACTCACACTCACACACACTCAATCTCTCACTTACACTCACACACACTCAATCTCTCACTCACACACTCACACTCAATCTCTCACACTCACACACACTCAATCTCTCACTCACACACTCACACACACTCAATCTCTCACTCACACACTCACACACACTAAATCTCTCACACTCACACGCACTCAATCTCTCACTCACACACTCACACACACTCAATCTCTCACTCACACACTCACACACACTGAATCTCTCACTTACACTCACACACACTCAATCTCTCACTTACACTCACACACACTCAATCTCACACTCACACACTCACACACACTCAATCTCTCACTTACACTCACACACTCAATCTCTCACTTACACTCACACTCGTACAACTCAACCTCTCACTTACACTCACACACACTCAATCTCTCACTCACACTCACACACACTCAATCTCTCACTCACACACTCACACTCAATCTCTCACTTACACTCTCACACTCACACACACTCCATCTCTCACTTACACTCACACACACTCAATCTCTCACTCACACACTCACACTCAATCTCTCACTTACACTCACACACACTCAATCTCTCACTTACACTCACACACACTCAATCTCTCACTTACACTCACACACACTCAATCTCTCACTTACACTCACACACACACAATCTCTCACTCACACTCACACACACTCAATCTCTCACTTACACTCACACACACACAATCTCTCACTTACACTCACACACACTCAATCTCTCACTCACACACTCACACACACTCAATCTCTCACTCACACTCTCACACTCACACACACTCAATCTCTCACTTACGCTCACACACACTCAATCTCTCAATCACACACTCACACACACTCAATCTCTCACACTCACACGCACTCAATCTCTCACTCACACACTCACACACACTCAATCTCTCACTCACACACACACTCAATCTCTCACTCACACACTCACACACACTCAATCTCTCACTTACACTCACACACACTCAATCTCTCACTTACACTCACACACACACAATCTCTCACTCACACTCACACACACTCAATCTCTCAATCTCTCACTCACACTCACACACACTCAATCTCTCACTCACACACTCACACTCAATCTCTCACTTACACTCTCACACTCACACACACTCAATCTCTCACTTACACTCACACACACTCAATCTCTCACTCACACACTCACACTCAATCTCTCACTTACACTCACACACACTCAATCTCTCACTTACACTCACACACACTCAATCTCTCACTCACACACTCACACTCAATCTCTCACTTACACTCTCACACTCACACACACTCAATCTCTCACTTACACTCACACACACTCAATCTCTCACTCACACACTCAATCTCTCACTTACACTCACACACACTCAATCTCTCACTTACACTCACTCACACTCAATCTCTCACTCACACACTCACACACACGCAATCTCTCACTTACACTCACACACACTCAATCTCTCACTCACACACTCACACACTCAATTCTCTCACTTACACTCACACACACTCAATCTCTCACTCACACACTCACACTCAATCTCTCACTCACACACTCACACTCACTCACACACTTACTCACACACACACTCACACACTCAATCTCTCACTCACACTCACACACACTCAATCTCTCACTTACACTCACTCACACTCAATCTCTCACTCACACACTCACACACACTCAATCTCTCACTTACACTCACACACACTCAATCTCTCACTCACACACTCACACACTCAATTCTCTCACTTACACTCACACACACTCAATCTCTCACTCACACACTCACACTCAATCTCTCACTCACACACTCACACACACTCAATCTCTCACTCACACTCTCACACTCACACACACTCAATCTCTCACTTACGCTCACACACACTCAATCTCTCAATCACACACTCACACACACTCAATCTCTCACACTCACACGCACTCAATCTCTCACTCACACACTCACACACACTCAATCTCTCACTTACACTCACACTCGTACAACTCAATCCCTCACTAACACTCACACACACTCAATCTCTCACTCACACACTCACACACACTCAATCTCTCACTCACACTCACACACACTCAATCTCTCACTCACACACACACACTCAATCTCTCAATTACACTCACACACACTCAATCTCTCACTCACACACTCACACTCAATCTCTCACTTACACTCACACACACTCAATCTCTCAATCACACACTCACACTCACACACACTCAATCTCTCACTCACACTCACACACACTCAATCTCTCACTCACACTCACACACACTCCATCTCTCGCTTACAAACACACACACTCAATCTCTCACTCACACACTCACACACACTCAATCTCTCGCTTACACTCACACACACTCAATCTCTTACTCACACACACACACTCAACCTCTCACTTACACTCACACACACTCAATCTCTCACTCACATACTCACACTCACACACACACTCAATCTCTCACTTACACTCACACACACTCAATCTCTCACTCACACACACACACTCAATCTCTCACTCACACACTCACACACACTCAATCTCTCACTTACACTCACACACACTCAATCTTGCACTCACACTCACTCAATCTCTCACTCACACTCACACACACTCAATCTCTCACTTACACTCACACACTCACACACACTCCATCTCTCGCTTACAAACACACACTCAATCGCTCACTCTCACACTCACACACACTCAATCTCTCACTTACACTCACATACACTCAAACTCTCACTTACACTCACACACACTCAATCTCTCACTCACACACTCACACACACTCAATCTCTCACTTTCACACACACTCAATCTCTCTCACACACTCAATCTCTCACTCACACACACTCACCCACACTCTCACCCACACTCACGCTCACCCAGTCTCCCGCTCACTCGCACATACTCGCCCACACTCATCCTAACGCTCGCCCACACTCGGCCACCATCACGCACCCGTGACTCACGGTGACAATGACAGAACCCCGGCGGACAGGAGGATGAAGATGATGAGGAGGAGGAGGATGAGGAGCATGGAGCAATCGGTCTTGCGCAGCACAGTGAAGGAAGGGGCGATCGCCTGTGGGAGAGGGGAGCGGGGGGGGGGATGGGTGGGATTGTGGTTGGGTGGACGCGGCGAGCCACAAGAATGGACAAATGAGTCGATGGTCAGCGAGACGCACGAGGAGAGGAGAGCAACGCCGTGACATCACAGAGGTCACGGCCACGTGACTGCGCAACACGTTAACGCCGCGACGCACGTGCGCAAAAAGCACGTGACATGCAGCGGTGGCTAGAGAATCGCTGACGATTATGTACAGAGGCAAAGATCCCTCGTGTAGCCTTTAACAGAATGTTGGGGCAGCCTGTGCTGTTAGCGAACGCCTATGAATGTCGCCACGGCACACGAGAGGGCGCCTATGTCTACCCCATGACCGACGTTTACACACCGCACACCAGGTACTCATTTAAGGCTGAGTTTACCTAGGGGATGAGGCCCAGGACCGGTTTAAAATAATCGCCGCCGTTTTTGTTCCCGAGTGGGAATCTAACTCGGGTTGGTAGCGCAGTGCGGTAACCACTGCGCCACCGCCCCCCCCCCCCCCCCCCCCCCACTGTACACACATTTATAACAACAACCGTCGTTCGCCACCAAGTGGCGGTGTTGTCACCACGGCGCCTGTGCCAGGCTAGGTGCACGTTAAGGCCATGTGAACTGTCGAAAGCGCGCTGGCTGGAAGTCACGGACCAGATGCAGGTGCCATGGACTGACTGAGATGACTGGCAGATGCACCACCTGTGCTCCTTACCGTGCAAACTCGCTGCATGTTATCCACCCCCTCCACCTGTACCAAAGACAAAGATTCCCCCGTGTAGCCTTAACAGACTGTTGGGGCAAGTGCTGTGAGCGAGCACCTATGAAGGCCGGCACGGCACGTGAGAGGGGTGGGTGGCTAGCACCACGCCCGGCCGCCTTTGTCTCCCCAGTGGCGATGTTTACACACCGCACCAGGTACTCACTTGAGGCTGAGTTTGACTTAGGGGAGGCCCAGGACCGATTCAAATAACCGTCACCGGTGTTGGCCGTGAGCGGGAATCGAACCCCGGTCGCCGGGTTCGTAGCGCAGCGCGCTGACCGCTCCTGCATCCCCACTACCATCACCAACATCACCAAAACACAAGCCCCCTTTTGCCCGCTCCTTGCCTCCTCAACCCGAATCATCCTTCCCCTCCTCCCCTAATCCCATGACCTCATCACCACAGACCACCCGGCACCACCCTCCCCCACCCATCCCCTCGACTCACCTTCGGTGTGCACCGCTGAGACGTACGTCCAGTTGTACCTCTTCACGATGTCAAGCATGGCCTGCGCTTGCAACTGATCGGAGGGCACGACGCGCATGAAGTATTTGAAGAGCGACTTGTCGCTCAGGTCGATGCTCGTGGCCGAGTAGGCGATCTGCGGTATATTGAAGAGCTGCAGGAGGTTCTGCACCTGGATGGCCACTGAGCTCGAGCCGGGCCCGATGAGGCCCACGATCGGCCGCTTGGCGCGCACGGGAGCCTCCTGGCAGCGGCCGACACCCCCGGGGGCGACGGCGGCGACGGCCGCGGCCGCCGCCGCCGCCGCTGCCGCCGCCGCATCCTTGGGGTCGTCGCCGGCGGACGTGAGCGAGTCCCTGATGAATTCGATGCTCTGCTCGAGCGCCACGTTCGAGTGCCAACACGAGTCCCTGATCTCGCATCCCAGGGTGATGCCCGGCAACAGCGCGGGGTCGGCGTTGATTCGGTCGAGGGTGTGGAACATCGCCTCCACCCGCTGGATGCCGTACTGCTCGCGGATCTCGCCGCACTTGCGCTCCGACACCTTGTCGGCGGGGGGTTGGTGGTGCACCGAGAAGAGGGCGCCGATGATGAGGTCGCCGTCTTTGCGAGCCACGATCCGGCGGCCCGGGGTGCCCTGGGCGCCGGCCAGGCGCGGGAGGAGGATGGCCACGAGGGCGAAGCGTGGTGCCAGCGACCAGCGCATTGTGGTGGTGGTGGTGGTGTTGTTGGTGGTGGTGGTGGTTGTGTTGGTGGTGGTGGTGGTGGTGGTAGTGGTGGTGGTGGTGGTAAGAGTGTGTACAGGCGTGGGCGTGTGTTCGATTGTGAGAAAGGAATGAGTGAGTGTGTGTGCGAGTGAGTGTGTGTTGCGTGTGCGAGTGAGTGTGTGTGTGCGTGCGTGTGCGAGTGAGTGTGAGTGTGCGAGTGAGTGTGTGTGCATGCGAGTTGGTGTGTGTGTGCGTGCGAGTGAGTGTGTGTGTGCGTGCGAGTGAGTGTGTGTGTGCGTGCGAGTGAGTGTGTGTGTGCGTGCGAGTGAGTGAGTGTGTGTGCGTGCGAGTGAGTGTGTGTGTACGTGCGAGTGTGTGCGTGCGTGTGCGAGTGAGTGTGTTGCGTGTGCGAGTGAGTGCGTGTGCGCGTGTGTCTCTATCGATGTCTATCGATGTGTCAGCCTCATTTTATGTAACTCTTTCTGCCGTGTTCCTGTCTGTCTGGCTCTCAGACGTCCGTTCGTCTATCTGTCCTCTAGCCCGTCTCTTTGACTATCTCGGCTCATCGCCCCGTTAGTCTCCGAGTCTTTCTGTCCGTCGCCCGCCTCTCTATGTTTCAGCACCGCCCGCAAGTCCCTCGTATCCGCCCGCCTATCTATCTATCTGCTCGTACCGTCCGTCGAATCTAATCCGGACGCCCATCTGTCTATCATCTGTCCGTCTGTCCGTCCGTCTGTGTGGCCCCTGTCTAGCTACGATCGCTCGTGAGGTGACGAGGAACGAGAGGGGGCCGCGGCGAGGGGCATCGCTCGTCCGGGCCGGGTCGGCTCGTCGTCCTCACCGCGTCCTTCACTTTACGGAGCTCGTGACGCTTCGATAATTGTCGATGAGCTACTCAAATTTCGTTCTTCTGAATTCACGAATTAACCCCCCCCCGCCCCCTCCGCCGCCCCCCCCCCCCCACGACTCTTGGTAGCTGCGTCGCGACGCGTTAATCCGTCCGTCCGTGGAGTTATTCCCGACGCACTTGCGATGGAGCTCACGCGACCGATCGATGTCTCCTGCGGTTTTAAACAGTCACCTTCTTCTCCTTCCTCTCTCTCTCTCTCTCCACTATCTCCAACTATCTCCAACTATCTCCACCTCTGTCTACCTCGGGTGATGTTTGCCTCTCGCCTCGCTCTCTCGCTGAGCGAGCGGGGAATTCCAGCAGGCACGGCGCGGGGCCCAGGCAAGAAGGCGAAGCACCCCCGGAGGAAGGGGATGGGCGGGCACAGAGACGAGGAGCGCAGAAGAGAAGACAATCAGGCACGAGTTAATCAGGCGCGGCGGATCAATTCCACCACCAGTCCCCCCCCCCCCTTCACTCCACCCTGCCCCCTCCCCCCTGTCCCCCACCACCACAACCGAGACTCCGTCTCCATCGCTAGCCCACAGCCCGCACAGCCCCCCCCGCCCCATCCTCCTCCCCTCGCCTCTTCGTGAATTGAGCGCGCGCACAAAAAGAGCCACGCGTCCAAAGCCACGCGTGGGCCTGGAGGCTCTCGCGTGCTGCTGCCCAGCGGAGCCGTTGCCCTAGCGGAGCTATTGCCGAGTGGAGTTCACGCCCAGTGGAGCCATTGCCGAGTGGAGCTATTGCCGAGTAGGGTTATTGCCGAGCGTGGCTATTGCCGAGAGGAGCTATCGTCGAATAGGGTTATTGCCGAGTGGAGCTATTGCCCAGTGGAGCTATTGCCCAGTGGAGCTATTGCCGAGTGGAGCTATTGCCCAGTGGAGCTATTGCCCAGTGGAGCTATTGCCCAGTGGAGCTATTGCCGAGTGGGGCTATCGTAGAGTAGGGTTATTGCCCAGTGGAGCTATTGCCCAGTGGAGCTATTGCCGAGTGGAGCTATCGTAGAGTAGGGTTATTGCCCTATCGTAGAGTAGGGTTATTGCCCAGTGGAGCTATTGCCCAGTGGAGCTATTGCCGAGTGGAGCTATCGTAGAGTAGGGTTATTGCCCTATCGTAGAGTAGGGTTATTGCCGAGTGTAGCTATTGCCGAGTTGAGCTATTGCCGAGTGGAGCTATCGTAGAGTAAGGTTATTGCCCAGTGGGGCTATTGCCGAGTGGGGCTATCGTAGAGCAGGGTTATTGCCCAGTGGAGCTATTACCGAGTGGAGCTATTGCCGAGTGGAGCTATCGTAGAGTAGGGTTATTGCCCTATCGTAGAGTAGGGTTATTGCCCAGTGGAGCTATTGCCGAGTGGAGCTATCGTTGAGTAGGGTTATTGCCCAGTGGAGCTATTGCGGAGTGGGGCTATCGTTGAGTAGGGTTATTGCCGAGCGGAACATTCTGGAGGCGTTCATCCCGCTGTGCTGGTACCCATTCGTGAGGCCAAGCAACACCCAACGTGGTGAAGTGTGGTCAAATAACCCCCATGACCTTGGTAAAGGGATAAAAATGATGATTTGTGCCATTACGATTGATCGCTTTATTTAAACGCTCTCACACGCGATACTTTTACGAATACATACTGTACCCCCCCCCCCCCCTAGAGCGTTTTCACAGACTATTTGGGGCAAGTGCTGTTAGCGAGTAGCACCGACAAAGGCCGGCAAGGCACACGAAGGGGATGGGGTGGCCAGCACCACGCCCGGCCGCATTCGTCTCCCAAGTACTGATGTATATGCACCGTACAAGGCCCTCGTTTGAGGCTGAGTCGACCTAGGGAAGACCCAGGACCGGTTTCGGATCATCGTCACTGGTGTTGGCCGTGACCGGGAATCGAACTCTGGGTGCCCGGGTTCGTAGCGCAGTCCCCCAATCACTGCGCCACCGCTCCTCCCACGATACTCGATAACAGGCAGGCGGTCGCACAGCAGCCGTCGATGGACTCCGTCCTCTGGACGTGAACTCAACGCGGGTCGGTGGTTCGGGACAGGCTGATGGTGAGTCCGCTACTAAAGCGGGAGGTCCCTTACAATGGGACATAGGGCGCCACAGTAGCTAGGAGATGTTGACTACCTCGCCTGGTATGCAGGAGGTAGTGGGTTCGATCCCGACCCTGACGCCTACTGAATATTTTAAATGTGAGTGTCTCTCTCTCATCATCATCACGGTAGCTAGGATATGTTAACTACCTCGCCTGGTATGCAGGAGGTAGTGGGTTCGATCCCGACCCTGACGCCTACTGAATATTTTTAATTTGAGTGTCTCTCTCTCATCATCATCACGGTGGCTAGGAGATGTTAACTACCTCGCCTGGTATGCAGGAGGTAGTGGGTTCGATCCCGACCCTGACGCCTGCTGTAGATTTGGAATGTGAGTGTCTCTCTCTCTCTCTCGCGTGGATTTTTCCCAGGGTCCTCTGTTTTTTCTCTCCACATTTAGAAGCATGGGTTTAGAATATGTGGCTTCTAGAAATGTCACCATGCATATCCACACAAAATGCTGTGTATAGCTCAGTGAACCTTACCGAGTAAAATAAAAAAATGTGGTTGTAGTTTTATATCGCAGCTGCGTGACCCTCCGTATACATATTTTTTTTACCAATTAAAACTCACTGAGCTATTATCCATTTGTCAGAAGCGACTTGGTCACAATGATAGCTCAGTAAAGACGGCCACTGCCAGCTGCGCTTCTGCGGCCGTCTGGAACGCTCTTCCTTCCGATATTTGGAAGTCACACTTTTAAATAATCTAGATTGGCAAACTAGTTTATCTAAAACTGATGTTTGTGTTTAGTTTGTTGTCCTTCCCCCGCACCTCCGATTAGCACGGTTGGCTACTATACGGTGCGAAAGAAGTTCAACACGCACACGAAGTGGCTTATTACGTGGTCATTAATAGCAGGAGCCAAATGTTCTCAAGCGTGTTTGATTCTAAGTGTGAAGGGATAGAGCTTTGGACAGCGCCTTGCGATGCGGTCCGAGTTATACGCTCGGGCAAACATGACAACGACCTCGGTTCGTACGGCGCAATTAGACAGGTTATGTGGTGGCGATGGTTGTGATAGTGGTGATAGTAGTGATGGTGGCGGTGGTGGTGATGGTCGTGGTGGCAATGGTGGAGTTGGTGGCGATGGTGGTGGTGGTGGTGGCGATGATGATGGTGGTGGCGATGGTGCTGATGGTGGTGATAGTGGCGATGGTGGTAGTGGCGATGATGGTGGTGATGATGGTGGTGGTGATGGTGGTGGTGGCGATGGTGGTGGCGACGGTGGCGATGGTGATGGCCATGGTGGTGGTGGTGGTGATGATGCTGGGGCGTTTACAGCGGTGCACAACCAACAACAACAGCGGCTGAACACGTCCCGTGTGAGAAGCAGCACTATGTGTGTGTGTGCGGCCTTTAAACGAAAAAATGCGCAAAAAATAAGCGACGTTTCGGGCAATGGCCCTTTTTCACAACATATACAGAGGTCATAGAAGCTTCTACGGCCTCTAGGTCTCTGTGACGAAGGGCCATTCCCGAAACATCGCCTATTATATATTTGAAGGTTTGGGCTTATTTACGATTGCATGTTTTGGCATTGCATTAAGGCCACCATACATTTATGAACGACTCGATTAATTCTGAATCAGAATATGTTTCTCCTACTGGAGGAATCCGATGAGCTGTAAAGCTCTTTTTCACAGATAATGTAAATAACGATGATTTGCAGGGGCCCCCCCTCTGTCAATCACCTGCTGGTTGAAGGCTGTGTTGTTGGTCGTAGTGGTTGCTTGACCATACTTCACCGCGCTGGTCAGTGCGGGTTGGGGAATGGGGGTGACGGGGGTGGGTTCACGAACCCACGTGTTCCTCCTGCCCCAACCCCGCAGCAGTCCGATCGATCTTTACGTGATCCACCAACCCCGTATATAAAACGGGCTCGCCGAGCGCTGCACCGCGGCCGCGAGTCGCGTCCGCTCGCGGGCCAGGAACGACCCAGTTCGACACCAGGTGTCCAAACTCCAGTTGTCGTCTAAGCGTGCGGCCGCATTCGGGGGCAAAGGATTTTATTATTTATTTATTTATTATTTCGCCTCTGGAGGCTTCGCCGAGCCTCGTGAGTCACTCTCGGGAGGGTCCTGCCGCACCAAGTGGCGCGCGTTGTGTTGTCCATGAACGCCACGGTGCATTCATTGATTGACCACTGACTTCGCTCCGTGGTGAGAGCAGGAGAACGGAGGACCCCCGGGAGGAAAACCCCACCACGCATACGAAGGGGTCATATCATTCAAAACCTCTACACAGATAGATT